TGGGACTTACCGCCCAGCAGATCCTCTATTCAGCTAACTACAGGAAAGGTCCTCACCGGCCTTTTCGCACAGGGGCGACATGCCCATGCGAAGCGAGAGAACTTGAAGGCAAGGCGACAGAAAACTAGGGTTAGGGTTTAGCCAACCCTACACTGGACTCATTTCGCATCTTTTCCCCCTCTCCCATCGCCATGAGATCTGCGTTGCTGGCTGTGGTACTGAGCGTGATGCGGGCCACCGCAGGCGCCTTCCGCGTCGCTGTGCTCCCATCCTCCTCTGCACGCAGGTCGTCCCTCGCTCTGGGCCCTCATGGGTCGTCCGGCCGCTCAGCCACGGCGGTGCTATGGGTATTGCAGCGTGGGCGGTACGGCAGCAGCCGCATGCGGCTTGTGGCACAGGCGGATGGCGAGACCTCCTTCGACTACCTGGTCATTGGGGCGGGATCTGGAGGCATCGCATCAGCCAGAAGGGCCGCTGGGTCAGACAGACAGCCACACATGCACACCACCACTGACTGATGCCATCGATGAGCTGGCATGGCCAGCGATATGAATGTGTCACTGAGTGTGTGATCTGTGATGTGTATGTATCCTGTCATCCTGTCTGTGTGCCATCAGGTATGGCGCCAAGGTGGCTGTTGTGGAGCGTGCAGCATTGGGCGGCACGTGTGTGAATGTGGGGTGTGTGCCCAAGAAGGTCATGTTCAACGCCGCCAGCATCAATGAGATGCTCCACGAGGCCAACCACCATGGATTCACCGTCTCGAGCTCCTTCGACTGGTCCACCATCAAGGTAGGATGACACGCCATGCATTGCACACCACTGTGTCTGGCTATCGATAGGATAGGCAGCTCAGCTCATGTGTGGCCGTGCGTGTGTATGTGTGTGTCTGGCTGGCTGCTGTATCAGACTTACCGGGACAACTACATCAAAAGGTTGAATGGCATCTACTTCCGAAACATTGAGAACTCGGGCGTCAAACTCATCGAGGGGCTGGCAACCTTTACGGGGCCAAACTCCGTTAGGGTGAGCAACCCCGTCGACCGCAGCACAGCCCCCTAGCTTACACACCCCAATCACCCCGTGTGTGTGTGTGCGTGTGTGTGCGTGTGTGTGCGTGTGTGTGTGTGTGTGTGTGTGCATTTGATGGATGCAGGTAGGTGACCGTAAGTACAGTGCCAAAAACATTTTGATAGCAGTGGGCGGTCGTCCGACGATGCCCGACATCCCTGGCGCGGAGCATGCCATCAACAGTGACGGCTTCTTCCAGCTGGAAGAAATGCCCAAGAAGGTCGCCGTCGTCGGCGCCGGATACATTGCCGTCGAGATGGCCGGCATCTTCAACGCACTCGGGAGTGACACCACACTCTTCGTCAGGTATACCGGCGGGTGGCTGGGTGTGATCATCAATCATACCGACGATGTGTGTGTGTGCGTGATGTGGGTGGGTATAGGGGTGAGACGGCATTGCGCAAGTTCGACGAGATGTTGCGTACACATCTGGATGCCGAGATGCGTCGTCAGGGTATGGAGATCGTCAACTACTCGAGCCCCAAGTCCATCAGCAAGGGGGCCGACGGCAAACTCACCCTCGAGACAGAGGGCGGCATGAAGTACGGACCATTCGACACAATACTCATGGCTACCGGACGGGTACGGACGGACAGACGGACGTGGGCCGCTGGCCGGGCGGGATAGACGGACAGGGAGGGATGGAGGGAGGGAAGGAGGGAGAGAGCGATGGCCACGCCTGCCGGCTCACACGTGTGTTGTGTTGTGTTGTGTTGTGTTGCGCTGTGTGCCTCCCTCCCTCCCTCCCTCCCTCCCTCCGTCCCTCAACAGAAGCCTGTGACAGATCTGTTGAATTTGGATGCGGCGGGTGTGGCCAAGGACTCCAAGGGCTACATCCCCGTGGACGAATACTCGGCCACCAACGTGCCTGGGGTCTATGCCGTGGGGGACGTCATCGGCAACGTCGAACTCACACCCACCGCTATCGCTGCCGGTAGGTAATGAACCAACCCACACACACAGGACAGCACAGGATGGGATGGGATGGCTGGCACGCACAGACGCGCCGTGCCCACCTTTTGCGACGCTACGCTACCTGGCTGTGTTGCTTTGCCGGTATGTCTGTCTCCTTCTGGTGTATGGTACATGATGTCTGTCAATCCGATAAGGTCGTCGTTTGGCGGATCGTCTGTTCAACGGCATGCCTGGCGCCAGGGCCTACTACGACAACGTCCCCACTGTCATCTTCTCTCACCCACCCATCGGTACGTACGCCGAGGACCACATCACATCACACGGGGGCCCTGCCCCCCC